ACGAAAAATTGGAAGAGTTAAATGCAAAATTATTTCGTTTAAACCAATTATTTATACATAGTAACTGAAATTGTGAAGTATTAGTAGCTATTTCAACTTAATTTTTATTTTTAAAAAAACAACATTTTTTTTACTAGTCCTGGTCTTGGTCTTGCTAAGGTTAGGCGGTCTTGATCTTGCAAAATGCAAGATAAATAAGATAAATATCAACAAAAAAAGAAGAGAGAATAAACTGTAACACATTTGTTTGATGCTTTGCAATGCAGTGGAAAATATAATATAAAATAAAATCTCTTTATTTAAAAATTATAAAATAAAACAAAATTACATAAAAATTTTTTTAGTGACTTTTATTTGAGTATTGGAATAGGAGATAACAGGAGATCGGCGATTATTTTATAAATTATATAGTTCTCTATTTAATTAAATATGTGTTGAGATCCTGTTACTTCCTACTCTCCTAATACAAAATAAAGATTTTATAAAAAAAAAAAATGTGTTCGAAAATGGTTTTTGTTTATGTTGATAAAAAATTTCTTTTAAATTGATAATTCTTTTTGTTTATGTATATAAAGAAAAATACAATATGAACATGAGAGTAGATATAAATTAAAGTTATACAACTTGAGCAACGGGTATTGATTACAATTAAATGAGCATTTATATGATTTGTAAAACGGGTGTTGGTCCGCCGTTAGGCTGATTTATTCACTAGAGAGTACCTCTAATACATAATGTATATTTATATATTTCTGAATGAGAAATAAAGATTTCCAATATATATAAATATATTCATGAATAACAATTTTTTTTCAGCTCGTTAAATATAAATAATTAGTGCACAGTGTAAATTTGTTTTTATTTTATGAAGAAAAGTCGTATAATGATCGTGGATTTTTAAAATGAAGGTACCTCTTTCGTTCATTATATAACTATTTTATTTTTTATTTTAAATTATTCATCGTGTTTGGCTCTCTACCCTCCGTTATAGAAATATAATCATTGTGTGAGTATATTTTTAAGTTACTTAAGTTAAGTTAAAATATTACTGTTATAATTTTCTTCCATTTTTGGGAATAACATAAATCAAAGTGAGCTAGAATTGTTTTTTTTTTAGAAAAATACTTTTATTAAAAAGAAGCTTAATAAGGAAATAAATCCTATTAGGTTGTAGTGAAGGAAAAAAAAATTATAATTGAAAACTATTTTTTTTTTCTTCTTTCGGACGGAATGTAATCTAAGGACCCACCTAGGATTCCAGTTAACTAAGAATGCCTTAACCCCCCTCCTACTTCTCTCCTTCCGTGCTTCGGTCGGAGGGGGGGGGGAGGGAGGAGGATAGGACCTTGCAAGTAGGGGGGTTGTAGGAGATTGATCGGACAAGAATGTTAAAGGAGGAATTCCTAGCGACATCAAAGCCAGCCAGTAAATAACAGAGCTCCCGATTCCAGTTTAATTGACTAACTTGATCCAGGGTTAAGTCCTCAGCCATAACCGACCGCGGAGGTCGAGGAAACTTCCTTCGGGCTGACTAGACGTTTCGAGGCCTTAACAATTTCGGATTAATTGGCGCCCGAATTATAGCTAGCTCACGCAAACAGGTCTTCCATCATCAGACCTTTTTAAGTGTCAGCAGCAGAGAAATAACGTAAAATTCCAGTTATTACTTTTCTGTTTGGGTCGCTTAATGATGACATATGATAATTTATAATGTGTATGTACACTTTCATATTCACTAAACTTGATAAATCAATTTATATTCATCATACCTATTTCTTATCAAAATAACTAGTACTTTTGATGAACGTTTTGTAAGATATTGAAAAACAACTCCAATACATATAAATGGGTAGGACTTCTTTAGGACTCCATCTATCGACTCCATCTATCGTATGAAATATTAAACAAAATACTTTTATAAATGATTTTTACACTCTACAGCTTTAGAAGTACAATATCTGTTGAGAAATTAGCGTAATTAATTATTTAAAGTGTTTATTGTAGAATAATTAGTGGTATATTTCATTAATAATAAACATTAAAAAATTAAATATATATAAAGAAAAAGATAGGTGTGAAACATAAAACGTTTCAAGAAATCCTCATACATTAGTGTTCGTGTAGTATACAAAATGTGCGCTAAGGAATAGCCTGAATATAATACAATTTTGATCCAAAATATGTTAATAACTTCTTTGGACACGTTTTGCACTTTTTTTGTGGAAAGTGAATTAGATTGAGGCGTGAGGTATCAGATGTGTAACGCTTGGTTGAAGTCTCATCTTCTATGTAATGGGCTATTGTTCAAAATTGTATCTTAACACGATGCCGCGTTAGAAAAAAATAGTGTCGAAAACTAAATCATGACGAGTTTTATTGAATATGTGGATTAAAATATCTCAGAAACTAAAAATCGGATCTGCATACTGTAGGTAAGAGAATTGTTCAGCATTTCATATTCTCTGCAATGGCCTATTATTCGAAATTATATATTAACATGATACCTCGTTATAGAAAATAAAAGAGAAAAATTAGTGTCGAAAATCAAATTATAATGAATTTTATGTAAGATATAGATTAAAATATCTCAGAAACTAAAAATCGGACCTGTATACTGTAAGCGAAAGGAAATGTTCAGCATTTTATCCTCTCTGTAGTGGTCTATTGTTTATGATTATATTTCATATTATTAATCTCACCTTGTTGTTTTTACTTCCATCGTATGGTCTAAAACACACATTAGTTTTATTTTTATTTTCATATCTTTAGATTTTAGAGAAAATTCTATCTTGCCTTACTGCATTTGGCATTTCTGGAGTATTGCAAGATACATTCCCACAAAGAAATGCCGTTTATTAGGAAAAGGGTTATCAAACAAAGTTCGTATATCCAGATGGGTTTCAGTATGGTTTTGTATAGTTTGTTTTCAATCGAGAGTAGTTCAATTTCGTGTTAAGTAGTCTGTATAACTGTGACACCATTGTGAAACTTTTTTTGCAGCCTCTACTACTAGGTACTTACTCCTCTTTAAATATATTCTTCTATTTACTGGAAAACCTATATAGTATTTTATTTTAAATAGTGTAATGCAATGAATGCGTGACTAACTTTAATTTGTTGTAGTAATTATTTTTTCTTCTCTGATAAACTGGATTGAATATTGAAATTTAATTATGAGATTAATTTTATTGAGGTTGTGATAATTGTTAATAAACTTGATATATTCGACATAAAAACAAACTTTAATCGAAACAGGGTAAAGTAAGCAATCACTCACAACTTGTACTCGCCAGGTCGTCAAGTCGTAAATCACTAGGTGCTTAGCTGTCAGGTGGATTTCTGCTTTAATTTCTAACCTTCGACCTCCCCATCGGAACTGCTTTAAAAATTGCTTCAAGGGAATCAGTGTGTTATTTTTTTGTTTTAAATAGTTTACTTTATCAAATTATTTTGATCTTTATACCATTCAGCTATACTAGAGGCGGTAACAGGAAAGAACAAAGACACGGTTAAGGTAAATAAATAGGAGGGATTTTTTCAACTTTAAATTTTAGAATCTCAATTATTTGCTTATAAGTTTAAATGTATACTTTTAAATAATGCTTTGAATGAAATTTATGAACATTTCTATAGATGCATACAGAGAGAAAAGATGTGGTTTTCGTTTTTTTATTTAAATAAAAAATCTGGTGCGGTGCGAGCATCACACAACTTTCACTTACTACCAGAAATAAGTATTTTCTAGGGGAAGTGAAAGAAAAATTACGTACGCTATTTTTTTTTTATATTTCATGGTGGGAATTTTTATTTGTATAAGTACCCAATATATATATATATATATATATATATATATATATATATATATATATATATATATATATATATATATATATATATAAACAAATTTCAATATTTATATCGCTGAAATCTATAGAATTAAATAGTACCAACAATAGCGTTTATGAAAGCCGCATATGTATATTTATATAATATTTTCAAAGTCCGTATTATATTAATCTCACCTATCGAAGCTTGTTTTAATCTTTCGGAGAGCTCGGGTGCGCTCGTATTCCTTCGGTTCCTCAATTACAATTATTCTCCGTTACGGTCAATTATTTCTCCTTTAGTTAATTATGAAATTCTTTCATATTTTATATTTTATTACGGTTTATATTAAAGATTAACGTTAAATGTTATATTGTTCCAAATAAAAAAAAATAAAACTACTTTAGGGGATGATAATATTGAAAATTAGCCATTTAATCCATGTTAGAGAACATCAACCAGAATAAATACTACATTTTATTTATAATTGCTTAATTTTACTCTGATATAAAGCAATTAATCTGAATCGTTAAATCCGTTATTCTGGGTGTACTGGACTAGCTATGCATGGTTGGGCATGGTTATACGCAAGTTGATTTAGGCTATTATATATATATATATATATATATATATATATATATATATATATATATATATATATATATATATAGTTTACTATATATATATATATATAGTTTTGGATTGTAGTTTATTTTTAATGATTTTATAAGTGAAATTGTATCTAGTAACTCCTCTGAGAGATTCTTATATATTTTTCAGATGACATTTGACGATATGTTTTAAAATAAAAATTGATAAATTGGACAATTTTGTAATAGGTTATATTATAGAGCCTAAAAAGGCCTAAGTTACTATTTCAAAAAAATAATAAAAAACAAAACAATTTAATTAGAGCGGGCATAAAACTAAAATAATAATAAAGCATGCATTTCTACTGTATACCATAGATATATTTAAATTGATCTGTATGATAATATATAAATTCTTCTAAAAATACTGAAGAAAATGTCTAAAAAATACTTAGATAAATTATGCTTCGTCATATGCAACTTAATATATTTCCTCATTATTTCTTTTAACAAGCTGTTCCTGTTTGGCTTAAGGTTATAAAAAAACAAAAACAATATATATATTTAAAACGAAATATGCTTTACCTTTGTTAAATGTGTGGATGGCTTCCGTCGGCAGCCATTGCCTCCAGAAGTGGCCTACTTCCTTATAGCCGAGGCGCTCTCCGGGACTCGAACCCGGATCGTCGTGACCAAGTACAGGGAAGACGAACTGCGCTGGGAACGTGTGTGATAACAAGTGCGTAAGGTTCTGAAGTGCGTGGACTTGGTCATCGGAAGAACGCCCTGTTGCGTGACCTGAGATACCATCTCTGTAAAAAAAAAAAAAAGTGTGCTAGAACGTTTCTAGGATCGCTATTCTCAAAGATGAACTATTGAGTCACTTAATGTACTTTTTGATGAGTGTAGATGTTTCAAACTATATTTTAGGCATCTAACAAGGATAAGAAAAACATAAAACAGGATTACTAGATATGAAAAGATTAAATATATTGGAGTAGATTGGTGAATTTTTTTTTTTACTTCCGACATTAAAAATATCTATCAACTCTGGTATGTGAAATAATTACATATGAGGAACGACATTTTACGAAGGGACACTATGTTTTTATTAACTGTTGGCAGATGGATTAGAGGATGTTGAGTTTTGTTAATCAAGTATCAAAAGGTACTTTTGTTATTATTTGTAATAATTTTGATTGGAAGGCTTGGAGTTTTTGAAGATGGGTCTTTTTTGTAGCTAAGTATACTTAAAAAAACAGTGTACATAATAGTAGCAACATAAAAGTATATATTATAATATACTTCTTTAAATTTATTTTTTATTATTTTATTGAGTAATAATACAGTCTGTCTCACTGAAGGGCATTTGTACAAGGGCTATAGTATTCATTCACACAATATGTGCACAAGAAAGTAAAATAAATAAAAATAACCAAGTATATATAAATAAAAAGATAAAGTAATAAGCAAGATAAGTAAAATGACAGAATAATATAAATTAAAAAAATAGATAATATGAACACGATTTGAGCCAGTGGTTGCCCGATTTTGTAGTGCATTGTTCCGAACAATTCATATTGTGATAGATAAAACATTCATTGATTATGAGTTTAGTGTATATAATACACTCTATAGAGGAACCGAACAGTAACAATATATTTCAATCAAGAGAAATAGTTTCAATGCAGCCAGCACAATTCCTGTCAAGGTTGTAGTAGCTATAAATAAAGCACATGGACAAACTTTTAATCATATTTTAGTCGATTTAGTGGAAGAAGGTTTTTTTCACGTAAATCTATTCGTTTGTTGCCTTTTCTTGATTAGGTTTCAGTAAAAACCTGTGCATACCAAAGGAAGAAATAAGTAAAAATAATCTTAAAGTTAACACACAAAATGTTCTCTTTAAATAGTTTAATGATTAAATAGCTTTTTAATAAAAAAAAAACATTATGAACTCATCAAAATAGAAAATCAAGCTTAGAGATTATTTATTGAATTAAATTTTTAATACGATTATAAAAGGGCATAAAATTAAATAGCTTTGAAAAAATCATTAATGACTACAGGGTCTTATTACAGGGCACTAGAATATATTTTGTTAAATCAAAAAGTATTGTTAATGTAGATCGAAAGATGTTTGATTTTGAAAAACACATCATTTCTTTTAAAGTATTTTTCAGGAAAGAAAAAAGGAAGGATTCAATTTATGTAACACATGAGAAAAGGTTTAAAATTAAATAATTTGATCAGACGTCACTTTTATTATAAATTATTCAGAAATTAAATTAATTGAATACAATAAATTTTATATCTTACAAGCATATAAACTTTTCTTTAATCTTATAACTCTTTTCCTCGCCATAAAACACCTATTTTTTCAAATATTATTGTATAGTGTAATTTTATGAGGAGTAATAATTTTGTATTTGTATCTTATTCTTTTTTAGATTAAAATAGTTTAAATATTTTTTCTAAAAACATTTTAAATGCCTTTTAATTTAACTAGTGTATTTATTTAAAATGTACACTCAAATCGTAATTTATTTAGTGAATCGTCTTCTTGTTTTTCATTTAAATGCTTGTCTTCATTTACTTATCACGTCTATGAAACATAAATATATAAGGCCAGTGAAACCTCGAAGTTATAAATACAGTTTATAAATAAATGGTATAAGAAAAGAAAACATAAGGAGCATAAAGAAGTTACAGAGAAGAAAAATCTGAAAACTAAGCTACGAATAAAAGGTTAGAAAAAAAAATAACAGACCAAAATGTACACAAAGAAAAGAAAAGAAAAGATGCGGTTGCCTTGTTCAAAAGGGCACCATAAATAAAGGACGAAAATATACAAAATATATAATATTAATGAAGATAAAATTATTTTTATTGCACTCCCCTTTCGGATTCATATCTTTTCATAATTGGTAAATGGTTGACTGTGTGAATAATGAAGAGAAGATTTTATTTAAGATATTATTGATTTTATTTTATCATTATTTTATTGCCTCTCCAGAATTTCTATCAACTATTTAAATTTATTTATGATCTATAAATTATTTATTTATAATTTATTTCTTATAACTTTATTTTATATTAAACTATTTTATTGCCTCTTTCTATCAACTTTCGTTTAATTATCCATAATATTTATGAGTAATATATCTCTCTTCCTTATTTACGTTTCTCGTACTTTAGTTCAAACTTCGTCAGATAACCGTTAGAGATGACGCCACTATACATCCCGTCTCACCACCTCCACCCTGACTAACACGCTCATTGCTTAGATTTATATCTCCACAGTCAGGTGGGTTTTCTTTTTCTTTCTTATTCTCTTTCTTATTTCACCTTCTCAGTTTCTTTCCTCCTTCCTTTCATCCCTCTGCTCTGTTTTAACTCTGCATTATATTATACGTTATCTATACATCTTGATAGACTTTACAATATCTAAATTTTCTATCTAACTATTCTATTCACAATATTTTAATTTTACTGTTTATTTCCATTTCTTATATAACTTCATATTTTTCTGTTATTACATTTTATTCTAAGATTCCCATTTTAATACTTATGTCACCTTTTTCTTATTATGTTTACTTCATCATTCTCCACTTTGTACCGCTTACTATCATTTATCTATTTGTTTTTACTATTGTCATTATTCTAACAACTGAATTTCACTTTAATTTGTTTTTTACCAACATTACTTATGTTTCTCATACTATGTTATCTGGTTCTTTTCTTAGTCCTGATGATGGTCTGAACTTCAGGTCGAAAAGTCGGCTAATGTCAAAATAAATAGTATCATTTATTTTTGCCTTCTTATTTGACTGATCACCCCAACTATTCTTCTCTTCATATCTTTTTATATTTGCGTTTGCTGACGTAATAAACGATAGACTGTCAAGTATATATTATTCCTGACCTCGGTTTTAATCGCTGTTAAAAGCTTTCAAACTGTTTTGTGGTTCAAAATTTATAAGCCGTTTGCGGTATATCTGCAATAAGTGCTAAGGTATATCTAAGTATTATAAGTAAAACTCACAAACACGAGGAAATAAGCTACTGCCCGATTTAGAAGGTTGTGGGAAGAGTGTTTGGAACAATTTCTCCCAAAGCGCCTAAATTATACAAAATGGATTTTCCTGTTACAGAATTCATAAAAAAAATAATCCTCAGTAATAAATGAAAATAAAATTAGTTAAATTGATGACATTAACAGGCATACATATATAAAATATCGACAAATATTTATCCAGGACTATTTCGAGCTAAACCTTTCCTCCAACTGCTCAGAGAAAAGAAGGTCTTCAGGAAATCCCAGTGCTTCTTTCTGCAACGCCCCTAGTATTAATGGCCAGTGGAGGCTCAGGAAAGAAAGGAGTGTCTGGTCATTGCTGAAACTCCTATGTATACTTATTTAAGCTTCCGGGGTCATTGCCATTTTAACCTTACAGGAGGATTATGGGTGGAGGTAGGTATTATGCATGGGATTTTAGAGGATATAGAAAGTTCTGGCCAAATTTGGAGGGAAAAAAAACGAAAATAAATTAAATTATTGCCCGGTGCTTGCTGTAATTCACTCCTGGCGTCGAAGTAATAATAAAAAAAAAAAAATACTTTTTTCGATCTTCGAAATATTCATTACTATAGTTGTTACATGAACTATAATCAAAAATCATTTTCAGAAGTAAACAGAAACTTTAAATTTTCTAGTAAAAGATATTACGACTCATAATTAAAGTAACTTGGTATTTGGCTAACGAAATCCTACATATTGAATCCACCTAACACCATTTTTTTTATTTAAGGCTCTTAAATCTTTTGATTCCGTCATTAATCTTCTCGTAGCATTGGTTATGTTCTAGGCGATAAGATGTAATCGTTTGGTTCTCTTCTTATGTAGATGATGTCCAGGGAGTACGTGGTTTATAATAACCGGACGCGACCACAATCACTCCCTCTTGATCAGGATGGTTGGCAACCTTTTGCATACGTCGCTATCCTGCTGTTGTTTGTTTTGTACGGGATAGGGTTATCAGCCCTGTGACCAATCCCCAAATCTGTATCTGTATCCACTCACCTTCCTGTATGTCTCAGGGTATGGACGTTACCGTCCTCATACGAGAATCGAACCCGCGCCGTAGTGGTCTATGCAGTCGGGGCTGTACTTATTTATTTATTATTAATATACCTACAAGAAGTATACTAACACATAAATAATAATCGATAACAAAATTAAATATTTAATATTTCTTTTTCGTCATGAATACGAATTGGGTTCGAATCTTGAAGAAATAAAAGCGTATAAAACCAAAAAAGAAAATTTGACTGTAAATCTCAGATCAGAAACTAACTTAAAAGATAAAGCAAAAACAGGATCTACCTCTTGAGAGTCCAGGAAATGGCTTTCTATCGGCGTTTGACAGAACGCTTTCTGATTTATATCGGTTCTGTCAAAGCCTAAAGCAATTTAAGTGCAAATAGCATGAAGGTTTTTATTTCCCTTAACAGTAGTATCAGTGAATTATTCTGAAGAGTTCGAAGATAAGGAAATATCTCTTAGAAAAACTGATCTTTAAATTTCATAAGAATGTTAAAAATATCCGGCCCTTCTTTATCAACTGGTTAGGACTTATAGATCTATCTAAAAAAAAAAAAAATTGAATCATAGCGGTAAAAACTCAGAAAATTCTTAATTCAACTCCAGCTTATTCTTTTTCAGCTTCAACTGATTCAAATCTTGTTTCTTTTAATGCAAATTGTCATTCTACTTCTTCAAGAGCCAAAAAATCTTGAATGAGCAAATCAA